GCAGTGGTGAAAAGAATCCTAATGTTCCCCTAAATTTCTCACTCTAATCCAGAGGACTATGAATACAATCAAGTATCAAGTCTGGCCGTGATCATATTACAGGATAGACACAATCTTGCAGATGTAATTATTACTCAGTTAACTTTGAGCTAATCAAAATCAAAATTGTCTGGCTGGGCCTAGACTAATCAAGTAGAATTCAAAGATTCAAAGTGGAAGAGATGGAGCCACGGGAAGGTTCTGCAGTGTTGGCTTTGAGATGGAAGAGGTCATGGGACAAGGAACTAAATGGGGTTTCTGTCTAAGAACCAGAAGGAAAATGGGGAAGTGAGTCCTACATCCACAAAAGACTGAATATTTGCAAAGATCTGAATGAGGCGAGTGAAGGGGATTATTCTCCGGAAGTACTTCCTCCCTGCAACATTCTCCAGCCTCAGGTTCCCTCATCTGCCCCGTCCAACTGGGCCACTGTTGTCCCAGACACCCGAATGCTTGCTTCAGCCAGTCTTATTTTGCTCAATCACCATCTCCTCAGAGCTGCCATCCCTAAGTGCCACGCCTATAAATGTGCTCCACCCCCACCCTCCCTGCCGGCCCTTTACCTCACTTCATTTTTTCACAGCATTCATGAGTACCTGGAATTAATAACTGTTTTTGAATTTCTGTATTGTTTCTTTCTGCTCGTCATCTTCCACATCCGCTATTAGAACTCAGGCTTGTTTATTTGCTCTTTCCCAACAGTTCTAAATAGTATTTGGCAGGAATTGATTGAATGACAGATAATAAGTAATTAAATTGAATAAGAAATTAAATGTTTAAAAGAAACAGACCGAGGACAGGTGGCTCCTTTACCCACAGTTGTGAACCACTGGTTTACACAGCTACCCTTTCAGCTGTGGTGATTGCTTATCTTAGATGAACTGAGAATGATGGTTAGGGTCACAGCCAAGCTGACCCTGTCTCTGTTGAATGCTCTTTTGCTGTTGCCGTTGTTCAAACTACTTAGAGCAATGTGTTGCTAAGGGGAATTTTTTTGATTTTTTTTTTCCTTCCAGTACCAGGAATCAAACTCATGACCTTGCACTTGCCAGGCAGGCTCTGTACCACTGAGCTAAATCCCCAGCCCAAGGGAAATTTTTTAATGGGAAAATAAAAATGACGTATTTTATGGTATACAAACGGATGTGCAATGATTAAATGAAGCAGTTTAATAAATCTATCACCTCACAAATACAATTTTGGAGTGGTGAGACTATTTGAAATTTATTTCCTCTGTAATTTTAAGAATACAGAATATTATTAACTATGGTTATCAAACTGCACAATAGCTGTCAGAATTGATTTTTGTCTAACTGAAATTTTGTGTCCTTTGACAAACATCTCCTCACTTCCCACTGGGTCCAAAGAGCAGACATGGAGCTTTGATCCATGGCCCAGGCCTTACCAATTCTGGAATAGGCCTGTTATCTGATTCTGAGAGTTCTACCTTCGGTTCTCGGTCCTATAAGTCTGGCCTGGTCTTTGGGTCTGTACCAGGGGATTGGAGCCTCAGCCCTTAAGGGTTTGCCATGTGCCAAGTCTCCAGAGGCAGGTTTGCACCCTGGGTCTGTTGGAGCTCCAGGCTGCAAGAACTAGTTTGGATCCTGGCTCTAGCCTGGCACTGGGGAACGCAGGTTCCGATCTGGAGCCTGGAGCTTTAGGGCTGGCCTGAGTTATGAGTCACTGATGGGCCTGGAGGCCAGACCTGTGGAGAAAGGCTGACACTGGAGGTTTGGGACCTGTTGAGTGTCCTCTGGTGGGAGCAGATGTCTTCCTGAGGTTCCATCCAACTGCACCAGTGTGAGACTCTGCAGTCACTGACTTTTAAAAACAACACCATTTTGGGTAGTAGCTGAACTCTGCTGGTTACAATGTCAAATATTCCTGATAGTACTAACAAGGAATTAAGGAATAGAAGGCTGAAAAACTGGAAGCACAATCAGACTTTGATGATAATATGACCATATGAAAAAAGTTAATTGTGTCTGAATAATTGAAAAGGCTTAATTTATTATTTATTCATCAGTGTAAAACTTAAAAGTTGGCACTGATTTAACAAAGAAAGGAATCATAGCTTAACAGTACAATATAGTTTAAGAAGTCATTCCCTTCTGGGAGCTCCTATGCCTGCATATTCATTACCATTCAGCTGAAACATGTGTTTTTAAGCTATAAAGTCATGTGTCACTTAACGATAAGGATATATATAGTCTGAGAAATGTGTTAAGTGATTTTTGTCATAAAGCACACTTACACCTACATGGTATAGGATGTTCATACCTAGGCTAAATGGTGTGTGTTTGTGTGTGTGTGTGTGTGTGTGTGACTGTGTGTAGTTTATTGTTCTTGGGTGTATGATGAACAAAACACCAAAACATTAAATCAAGCTCAAGACCAAGTGGTGTGGTAAACGTGAGATGTACGAGGCTGCTATCAACATGATAGCATGGCATAACATACTACTTTATAGCAAGCTTTCTTTTGTTTTTATTTGTTTGTTGCAGTGCTGGGGATCGAACTCAGGGTCTCATGCATGCTTGGCAAGCAACCCTGCCATTGAGCTGTACACCTAAGCAAGCGCTAAGATAATGTTAAAAACCCAGTAAATACATAAGCCAGGAAGAGTGTGTTTGCTATAATGGTGCAGAACCTTTATAGGACTGGCAGTGCTGCACATTTGCTTACATCTGCATCACTGTTAACATGTGGGTGTGCCTTATGTTCTGACATTTTAATGGCTACACCACAACACAGTAGAGATTTTTCATCTACAGTACTGGACCTCCATTGAGGATGTGATCTGTCATTAACCAAAACATCATTAAAGGTATTTAAAAGTAAACTTAACATTCTAGAAATGAACTATTCTGGTAATAAACAATCACACCTAAATATTGTCATAATTTCCTCATAATAAGACTTGTACCGTCTATATGCCCCTTATAAAAAAATCATCAAAATATTTTATGTAGAGATATAAATTTCTAGACAGCTTCTATTTTGATGTAATATAAATTGATCCATGTCAGGAAAGATAGGGATCAATATATTTAAGCTCTAATAAAAAGAAAGTAATGGATAAAAGAAAATAAAATTATGGATAAAGGAAGAACAATACCAAAAGATATATTTTCTAGGATCAAAAGAACAAGAGTCAAAACAGTTAAAGCCTTCAACTAATTTAAAATTGTATTTGGCCCATAAGTCCCAAAGAAATAAATATGTGGTGACTTCCTGGATAAAAATCTGAGGAGAGAATGCAATGAGTCCATTGTTAGTAACTATAGATGTGTGATTTCTCCATGAAATGTGAAATACAGCTAGCCAGGAGAAAAACCAGAATGAACCTGTTTTTTTTTTTTTTTAAATTTTTTTTTTTTTTTTAGTTTTTCTCCGGTACCAGGAACTGAACTCACGACCTTGCACTTGCCAGGCAGGCAATTTTGCCGCTGAGCTAAATCCCCAGCCCCCCCTTTTTTTTTTTAGTTTTTCTCCGGTACCAGGAACTGAACTCATGACCTTGCACTTGCCAGGCAGGCGCTTTTGCCCCTGAGCTAAATCCCCAGCCACCCCCCCCCCTTTTTTTTTTTTTTAATTTTTTTTTTTTAGTTTTTCTCCAGTACCAGGAACCGAACTCACGACCTTGCACTTGCCAGGCAGGCGGAACCTGTTTTAATTAGTGAAGAAAAAAAGAACTCCTTAGTCTAGGTACTGATCAGAGTGGAGCTCAGAAACTGGACTACTGTTAGAGCAAACCTAGATTTATTTTAAAATACTACAATAAAGCGCTGCACCTTTAAATTTTCTACAATATGGAAAATTTTGCATTTTCTCTACTGCATTTAAAAGGCTAGTAGACACATGTAATAGTAACAGCAGAAAGGAGAGTTATACAGCAGCACAAAGACAGCAAAGACAGAAGAGGACCCCTTTCTGCATTCAGCACCTGACCTGCAACCAATAAGTTTCTCAGGCTTCCAAGTTCAGGACAATCCACTTAAGCCAAATAGCAATGCACTGGCTCTTGGCTTCCAAGGTGGGTTGGAAAACTGAACATGGTAGGACAGACATGCAGCTGAATCTCAGGGTCAACTGAAACATTAAACTCTTTCTGGTTCTTTCCCTTCCTTCTCTCTGCTCACCTCCATCACTCATATCCCAGCAGCTGCTCCAGAGGTTTGTGTGCCACTGTGCCATCCATCTCAGGACGTGAAATTTCCCTCAAAGGAGGGGGACCATTTCTTGTTGTCAGTTCTGCTGGGAACCCTCAAGGGGAGAACTCTGGTTTGACTTTGCTTAGGGCTCTCAATTTAAGCTGAGAAAGTGGGAAACCTAAGAGCACAAAAGCTCCAAGTGAACTACGTCTGTGCAGCACATGTGTATGTGTATATGCTGGAAAGTGGAAGAGGAACATGGGGAAGGGCTTTAGCATAGGATGGTGCCAAAAAATAAGAGTATGCCTTCCCTGGAGAGAAATTTAAATACCAAGTAGGCATCTCACTGGCTGCTAGAAAGGTATTTTTATTCTTCTAGAAATATTCTAGGATAAAAAAAGTCCTTGTGTAATCAGTGTCTCTTAATTGTGACAGATGAAAGAAATGGATGCTCCCCAGTTGTTCCTGACAGTGGGTAGCACACCCGCCCAACAGTCCACCATCTGGTGAAGATTTGAGCCTCTAAATTCATGGGTCCAAGCCAATCAGTCGCTTTTGCAGATTCCCAAGTGGTTCTCTGAGATTTCAATTTCTGCTGTCAGGTGAGCCAAATGCCCTGATATTCTACTTCCTTATCCCTTAGAATCAGGGAAGTTTGTAATCTATGACAAAGGCACAAGAAACACATTATCAGACAGTCTCAGAGCCACCGATGACTTCTTTAAAGTGTATTTCCTTTATTATTAGTGAGCTTCCACCAATTTACCTTTTAAAGTTGTATTTCAAACTGACTTAATTAGAAAAAAAAGTGTCCAAATCTAAAATGTAATTTATTTTTCTTGAGATAGCTTTTTCAAGCAGAAGTAAGGCAGGTGATTAGGACACAAACAAGTATTTGATAATACAGAGTATAACATAAGTTCTCAGTTCCAACTCTGACACAGTTTGAATGAATTAAAATATGAGTAACAGATTATTCTCGGGTTAAATGGATATTTAGGCCAAAAATAACAGTAAGCAATGGTTTCCTGTAAATATAATTTAATGTCTAATGTAGATTCACTGAAAATAGAAAAAGCCAGGGTTAAATGTAAGTGCATAAATTGAGATTATAACAATTTCCACGAATAAAGATTTTATTATCCAAAATTTATCTAGGAATGAGATTTACCGTGTATATGTGTTTTCCAGAAAGCTAATCATCTGATGGGAATCTTTTCCAAGTGTATCGTCTAGTATGTATAAGAGCTTTTGGAGAGTTAGTGGTGTTGCTGATGATGGGACACTCAGTGCGTCAGGCTGAACTGCTTGTCTGATGGCTCTTTTGCTATCCATTGAATGATACATATTTTACCCTCTTAATCTGTTTCTTCTACCTGATAGTGCCTTGGGAAAATTGGAAAAAACAACTTATTTTCTTAAAATTACTTATTGAAAGCTTTTTTTAAAAAATCAGTGAGAAGTAGAGACTTTGGGTATCAAATTAAAATTCAGAGAATGTGTACCAGGGATCTGTTTGATCAGGTGTGTTCCACGGGATGGAACTGTCTGGAGTTCCAGCACTAAACTGAGATAGGACTGGGTTATTAAATATGGATGAGTGGCTTCTTTGTTTACTTAAAGGTGGGAAAATTCCAAAAGAAATATGCCTAAGCCAAGGGCAGAAATCCTGAATTCTAAGAATATATCTAGCCATAGGCCCAAGTTCCATAGAGCAATAGTATATTGTGGTAGGAAGTCTATCAGAATTGGAGCAGAGACATTAGAATACAGACCTCTATTTCCAGCCTAATCCAAACTAACAGCATAACTTTTGGTAGAAAGTTACCTTCTTATTGATTCTGTTCCCTCACTCTAATACAAGAGAACACAAGCAGATGAGTTTGGAGGTCATTCCAGCTCTGAATATAATCAGCCCTCTGAGGTACTATGACAGAACAGAGAGTACCGAGAGGAATCTCCTTCAACAACACACGACCTGGAAAGGTAAGTGTGACTCTACAGAAAGGACGACAAGAAGTGCAGTCAGAAGGCAACAGAACTTAACTTGTAAATGATCTGCTATACATAATAAAATCTGCAAAGTGCACAGTAATTATTATTCTCATAACTGATGCCACTGGTACAATTTTAAAAACATAAACCCCTTAAGGCAGTGGGCCTAACTACTCACCAGGTTCAAGTTATGTGATATGAGCTGTGATCAAAAAATATATCAAACTTTAAATTGTACAAAACGTTTGTTACAGAAAAAGACACACTGCCAATGATTCCCCTCAAATGTACTTCCCATTGCTTCAAACACACTCATTCCATCACTGTTGCCACTTTCTGAAGCAGCTCTGGAAATTCTTTAGTGGCACCATCTTGAGTGCCTCAATATACTAAATCAATTCAAAATGTTTACTTCCATGGTTATTTTGACTTGGGGGCTGATCCAGAAGTTGCACAGTGCCAGACCTGGTAAATAAGGTGGACAAGAACATTCTTGTTCTGGGCCTGCTTTTCCACTGGATAGCAGCTGCATTCACCATGTTTTTATCACAGCTCATAAATATATGAAAGAAGACATCTAGGAGAACTGCTTCAGAAAGGGGCAACCATGGGATAAGTGTCTGAAGCTAGGGAGAGTATTTTGAGGGGACATTAAAGGCAATGTGTACAGCAGTAATATGTTTTAACTAAACATTCACTGTATATTTTGATCACTTCTTGTATATATTCCTGACTCAACCAGAATAACTTTAAAATATTCTAAAGCTTCAGTTAAATTGTATTATTTAAGTCTGTCAAATGACATTGAATTGACTTGCAGATCCCTCCATTGTTATAGGCTTATTTTAAACTTGTTATAGGTTTATTTTGGTACAGACTCAGCTAACTGTACCTTCTAGGCCCAGATCAGGTTTAATGTAACATCTATGGTGGTAACAAAAATACAAAACTCTCTGATTTACACAATGGATCCCAAGATCAGTGGGGCAACAAAACATTAGGTCTGGTGATTCAGAATATTGAGCTCATGATCTATAAATCACAAATTTGAAGTTTCTCTTCTCCAAAGATCTTTATCATGATAAAGGCACCGCAGGAGTACACAGCTGGGATTCATCTGCAATCCTCCTCCTCAACTTGATCCAAATGCCATTATTTGCTCGAAGAATCAGCTCTCCTGAGAGGCCAAGTTCTTCTCTTTTTTGGTTGGATTCTACCCAAAACCGTCTCAGTATACAGGAAAGAATGGTTTTTTCTTCCATCACAGCAAACTTTTGACCTACAAATAAATGCAAACACTATCACGTTAATTATGATACAACTCAAATGTGAGAAATCAGAGGCCCTATTACAGGGACAAGCTACTCTACGCTTTCACACTTTCATTTCCCTGAGGGAATCATAATCACTGGAAATGCTTGCTAACGATGAAGATTTTTGAGTAATGTTTTCTGTTCCAACCCAGTGTGCCCGAATAATGCAGTGGGCAAGGACTCTGTATTTTAGCAGGACAGTGGATCCTCAGTACCCATAGGTTCTGCATCTGGGGATTCAACCAACACTAAAAAGAAAATATTTACATAATTCTCACCTATACTGAACATCTACAGGATTTTTTCATTATTCCCAAACAATGCAATACAACAATGATTAGCTATCTGCATAGCACAGAGTTTACATTGTTTTAGTTATTGCATGTAATGCAGAGGTGATTTAAAGTGTATAGGAGGATGTGCAGGTTACATGGAAATTCTACAACAAATATACTTGAGCATTTGCAGATTTTGGACTCTGGGAGGCTGGTTCTGAAACCATTTCCTGGAGGACACTAAGGACTTCTGTACCTCAGATGAATCATGGGCTCATTTATGATTGAGAATCAATACATTTTGCTTTTTTTGACTTTTTAATTTACAGTAGTGTCATCAAATATGCTTCAGATTCACTCATTTCAATCTGGCCTCATTTTACTAATGTCCATATTCATGCGAATGACTATAATATTAAAGTCAAGTGTTTATAACCAATGGTGATATGCATTCATTTTACTTATGTATTTCAACTAGCCATATGGCAAGCATACTTTTTTTTTTAAATATCATCTTGTTTCTCTTGTGTGAGAAA